CCGCCCGGGGAAGCTCCGAGCCCCTGCCCAGCCCGGGGAAGCTCCGTGCCCCGCCCGGGGAGGCTCCGCGGCCCTGCCCGGCCCCTGCCCGGGCTCACTTGAGCTGCTGTGTGATCAGCTCCTCCTCGTTGAGGTAGCGGAGCCTCTCCTCCTCCACCAAGGTGCGCTGGCGCTGCAGAGGGTCCTCGTGCTTGCGCATCGTGTCCGTCACCCGCACGCTGATCTCCGTCTCCGTCCGCCGCAGCAGCGTCTTCACCGTCTCCTGGTTCTGCAGCTGCGGGGAGGAGGAGGGGGGGGTCAGGCTGGGAGAGACCCCCCCAAGATGGGAAATGGGGAATGGGGAATGGGAAAGGGGGAATGGGAAAGGGGGAATGGGAAAGGGGGAATGGGAAATGGGGAATGGGAAATGGGGAATGGGGAATGGGGAATGGGGAATGGGGAATGGGGAATGGGGAATGGGAAATGGGGAATGGGGAATGGGGAATGGGGAATGGGAAAGGGGGAATGGGAAATGGGGAATGGGGAATGGGGAATGGGGAATGGGAAATGGGAAATGGGAAAGGTAGCAGCCCTGAGTTGGGCGAGGGGAGGGATCCCTGGGGTTGCAATGAGGAGGGATCCGCGGGCTCAGTGTGGGGAAGGAGCCCTGAGCTTGGATTTGGGAAGGATCCCTGAGTTTGGATTCCAGGAAGATCCCTGAGCTCAGATTTGGGAAGGATCCCCGAGCTCAGTGTGGGGAGGGATCCCTGCGATTGGAGTGGAGAAGGATCCCGGAGCTCGGATTTGGGAAGGATCCCTGGGCTTGGATTTGGGAAGGATCCCTGGGCTTGGATTCAGGGAAGGTTCCCTGAGCTCGGATCCAAGCGGGACCCCCGAGCTCGGATTTGGGAAGAACCCCCGAGCCCGGATCCAGGCAGGACCCCCGATCTCAGCTCCGGGCAGGCCCCCCGAGCTCTCCCCACCTCTCCCACCACTCCCCCCGCTTACCCCGCCAGGAGCCGCTCCCAGCCGGGCTGTCTCTCACCTGCAGTTTCCGCAGCTGCTGCAGCTGGTTGCGGAGCTCGCTGGCGTTCTGCTGCAGGTCGTGCAGGTGCAGCTGCATGTGCAGCCGGGTGACGGCCGTGGGCTGTCCCGCGGGGGTGCTGCTGGCCGAGGGCGGCGGTGGCGCTGGCACCGGGGTCCCCATCCCGCTGCGGCTCGTGGCTGCCCGGGGACAAGCGGAGGATGCTGAGGGCGATGCCGGAGCCAGGGTTTGGGGTTTGGTGATTATTTCTTTTATTTCCCCCTCAATCTTTCAGCTCTGGTGGTTTCTGAAGTTTTGCCATCCGGGCTGAGCCCGCCCTGCTCGGTCTGAGCCCAGGACAGGATGGGAGGGTCCCACTGCTTGGTGGGGACCCCTCAAAGCTTTTTTAAATAGGTTTTCTATTGTATTTCGTATTTTTTATATTTTATATTTTATATTTTAAATTTCATACTTTATTTTTTATATTTTATATTTTTTATTTTATATTTATAGTCTATATTTATATTCTATATTTATATTCTATATATATATTTTATATTTATATTCTATGTTTCTTTTCTATATTTCTATTCTATATTTCTATTTTATACTTCATATTTTTATTTTATATTTTTATTTTATATTTCTATTTTATACTTCATATCTATATTTTATATTATATATTTCTATTCTATATTTCTATTTTATATTTCTATTTTATATACCTTATATTTATACTTATATTTTAATATATATTATATATATTATATTTATATATAATATATATTAAATATTCATATATATAAGTATATGAATATATTTATATATAGAACTAGAAATATATTTATTTATAGAAATATATAAATATATTTATATAAATTAATAATTATAGAATGTATATTTGTGTTTATAAACTATAAATATATAATAAATATTTAATTATATAGAGATATATAATAATGTGTAATAATAAATTAAATATATAGATATATGTAATATATTTCTATTATATTTTATATATTTATATTTCAATATATTAATAATAAATTTTAATAAAAGTATATACTATATATTATGTAATATATAATATATATTATTAATTGATATTATATAATATATAATATATAATATATAATATATAATATATAATATATAATATATAATATATAATATATAATATATAATATATAATATATAATATATAATATATAATATATAATATATAATATATAATATATAATATATAATATATAATATATAATATATAATATATAATATATAATATATAATATATAATATATAATATATAATATATAATATATAATATATAATATATAATATATAATATATAATATATAATATATAATATATAATAGATAATAGATAATAGATAATATATAATATATAATAGATAATAGATAATAGATAAAAGATAATAGATAAAAGATAATAGATAAAAGATAATAGATAATAGATAATAATAATAGATAATATTATATATCTTCTATTCTATTAAATATAAAGCATATTTTTATATTTATGCAATATTTATATTTTTTATTAGTATAAAAAGAGCATTTATAAATACATTCTACATAAAAAGTCTATTTGTAAAAAAGAGCAGCTTTCCTATTTTTCATGTCTTGTACTGCTTTAGGGAATAACTCTAAAACTTCTCAGCTTCTGCTCTCCCGTTTTATTCAGACCAAACAATTCCTCTCTGGGCTCCAAGCTCAAGGACACCTCAGTGCCTCAGGAAAAACATAAACAGAAATTAATTGGGAGGGGATTAATTGGGGGTAAATGACTTCATTACCTGGAGCTGTAATTGGAGCATTAAGTCCTGATTTGTAAACGAACCAAACTTTTAATTGTCTGAAAAACTGAAAATCCGAACCCTGACCATGGCCCAGCCCTGGGGAGGCTCCGTCTGCCCCGAATGCACCTGGAGGCCCTCGTTAAATACAAGATTTTTATTCTCTTAATTCTGTCTGGCCTCTGGTTCTCTGTCAGCCCCAAAAAACGCCTGGGGGTGTCCTGCAGAGCCCACCCCGGGTCACCCCTGGTTAAGGGGTCCTGCAGAGCCCACCCCGGGTCACTCCTGGTTAAGGGGTTCTGCAGAGCCCACCCCGGGTCACCCCTGGATCAGGGGGGTCCTGCAGAGCCCACCCCGGGTCACCCCAGGGTCGGGGGGTTCTCTGCAGAGCCCACCCCGGGTCACTCCTGGATCAGGGGGGTCCTGCAGGGGTCACTCACACGCTGACGGGGGGGTCCCGCCGTTGGTGGCTTCGGTCTTCTCGCTGCAAGGAGAGGAGGGGCTCAACTCGGGCCGGCCGGGGTCGGGGTCCCCTGGGAGGGGGACAGACCCCCCCAGGAGGGACATCCCGGGGGTCCCACACCTGCCCTCCCTCACCTGGGGGTCTCGGCCTCGGAGCCGCGGAGCAGCGCGCTCTGCACCAGCCCGGTCAGGCTGGCGATCTGCTTCTCCATGGCTTCCATCCGCTCCCTGCGCCGGGAACAGCCGGGGGGGACGGGTCAGGGGCTGGGTCTGCCCCCCCGGGTACCCCCGGGCTGGGTCTGACACCCTGGACACCCCCCGGGCTGGGTCTGACACCCCCGGGTACCCCCTGGCTGCTTCAGAACCCCATCCCAGCCCCCCCGGGTACCCCCCAGGCTGGATCTGACACCCCCGAGCACCCCCGGCTGGTCCTGCACCCCATCCCTGCCACCCCCGGCTGGTTCTGCACCCCATCCCTGCCCCCCCGGGGCTTGGGGACACGGCTGTCACCAGCATCTCCCACTCTCCTCGTTCCCTCTCTGCGCTCTCACCCAGCCTCACCCGCTGCCTCATTCCCCATCCCTCCACCTCCACCTCGCTGGGACCGGGGCAGCGCCTTCCTCTGCTCCTCCTCCTCCTCCTCCTGGCCCTGCAGCTGATCCAAAACCCCCGGCGCAGCCAAGCCCGGACCCCCATCCCTCCTCTCACCTGGTCTCCGTGTCCTTGGCCGGTCCGGGCGATCCGAAGCCCGAGAGCGGCCGCTCTCCGGGGCCGGGGAACAGCTCGGGGGGCCCGGACGAGCTGGGGTTGCGCGCTTTGCCCACGGGGCCGTCCATGAAGACGGAGGAGCAGGAATCCTTGCGGAAGGACTGCCGCACGGGCGAGGAGCGGCTCGGCGGGCCCGAGTAAGGGCTGTGCGGGCTCTGCCCGGGCTCCACCATCTTCTGCGGGGACGAGGGCGGCATTCGGAATCCCAGCCCGGGGCCGTACGTGTCGCTGTAGATGGGCGCGTTGGGCTTGTACAAACTGTCCTCCAGCTCCGTCTGCAGCGCGGCCGCCGAGTAGGTGCTGAGTGACCGCACCGAACCCCGCTTGTAGAGCCCCCCGGAGTAGCCGAACGGGTCCCCCATGCCCGCCAGCGACTGCGTGGAGGTGATGCTGAGCCGCCCTTCGTGCACCATCCCGTAAGGATCGGCGTACAGCCCCTCGTTCTTCACCAGCACCACGTTCTTGCCCGCCAGGTCCTCGTCCGGCTTCACGTCTCGGCGCTCCAGGATGGCGCTGGGGCTGGGGGACACGCCCGGGGCCGGGGGGAGGCTGGACAGGCGCTCGCCGTGGTGCACCGGGCTACCGGCGTACGAGGGCGGGCGACCGCCGCTGTAGGACATGCGGGAGCGGGACGGCGACGAGGACTGCAGCACGGGAGGGGGGGAACCGGAGGCCAGGTGGGAGGCCGGGGAGATGTTGTTGAGCCGGCGGGTGGGAGAGGATTCCCGGGAAGTGTAGACCATCTCCCGCTGCGGGAATAGGGCGGGAGGGTGAGCGCGGAGTGAGCCCTGCCCTGCTCTGCCCTCCGGCGCCTTGGCAAACCCTTCCCTTGGAGGGCGAGGAGGAACGGCTGAGGGAGCTGGGGATGTTTATCCTGGAGGAAAGGAGGCTCAGAGGTGACCTCAGCACTCCACAATTCCCAGAAATGGTTGTGGCCAGGTGGGGTCGGGCTCTTTGTCCAGGAGCAGCTGGCAGAGCGGGAGCGCACAGCCTTAAAATTTAGGCTGGATATCGGGAAAAAGTTTTTTACGGAAAGGGTGAGGAAGTACTGGAATGTTCTGCCCGGGGAGGTGTGGAGTCGGCATCCCTGGGGTGTTTATAAAAGACTGGATGTGCCGTGGTTTAGTTGAGGTGTTAGGGCTGGGATGGACTCGGTCTTAGAGGTCTCTTCCAACCCTGGGATTCTGGGATTTTGGGATTCGGTGGTTCTGTTATTCTGGGATTCTGTGGATTTGGGTTCTGGGATTCTGTGGTTCTGGGATACTGTGGTTTGGGATTCTGTGGTTCAGTGATTCTGGGATTCTGGGATTCGGTGGTTGTCTTATTCTGGGATTCTGTTATTTTGGGATTCTGGGGTTCTGGGGTTCTGTGATTCCCAGCCAGCAGCGGGGTGATTTATCCCGATGATTGATTTACCCCTATGAATTACCCCCATGATTTAATTCTCTAAACCCCACCTTTTCAACCCCTCTGTCAGCCCCCAACCAGCGCTGGAAGCAGGCAGGATGAATCCCAGCCGCACACCATCCATTCCCAGTTTCTCCCGCTTCCTCTCCTTCCTGCCCCCGCTCCCGCAGGTCCCGCCACCCTCCCGGGCTGTCCCCGTGTCCCCTCTCACCCTCAGGTCGCCGTTGGTGATGTGCGAGGCTGGGAACGAGGCGTAGAGCGGCTCTTTCCGGTAGATTTTAATGATGCTCCTGTCCTGGATGTCCCTGGAAGCGGAGACAGAGCCTGAAAAAACCCATCTCCGCACCCACCACCCCTTTTCCCTTCATCCCACAGATTTCCCGGCTCGGGATGGATTTCCAGGCGGGATTTGAGCTGCTCACCGGACATCCTCCAGCTCGTAGAAGACGTTTCGGGACTCATCCTTGATGAGGATGGCGGTGTTGGGGGATTTGAGCATGCCCATGGTGAGCTTCTGCGGGAACATGTGGACGATGAGGGCGTGCAGGGTGTCCATGCTGCTGATCTCGTGCGTGATGTGCACCCGCCTGGTCTCGTCCCCGAACTGCAGGAACAGCACCCCTGGCAGCACAGGGAGCACCCCGGAGTCAGGCCTGGCCCTGCCCCTTCTCCAAAGGGGTGACAGGGACGGCCTGGAGGGCTCCGGGGCAGCCAGGAAAAAAAAATGGGGTGGGGGAGGTCTGGCCACCCAGCCTCGTCCTGGTGATGGGGGAAGGTTTTGGGGTCTCCAAAAAAAATGGGTTTGGGGAGGTCTGGCCACTCAAACTTGTCCTGGTGATGGGGGAAGGTTTTGGGGTACCCAAAAAAAAGGGGGTTGGGGAGGTCTGGCCACTCAAACTTGTCCTGGGGATGGGGGAAGGTTTTGGGGTCTCCAAAAAAAATGGGTTTGGGGAGGTCTGGCCACCCAGCCTCGTCCTGGTGATGGGGGAAGGTTTTGGGGTCTCCAAAAAAAATGGGTTTGGGGAGGTCTGGCCACTCAAACTTGTCCTGGTGATGGTGGAAGGTTTTGGGGTATCAAAAAAAATGGGTTTGGGGATCTCTCACAACCCAGCCTTGTCCTGGTGAAGGGGGAATGTTTTGGGGTATCCAAAAAAATGGGTTTGGGGAGCTCTGGCTACCCAATTTCACCCTGGTGAAGGTGGAAGGCTCCAGGGCACCCCAAAAAATGGGTTGGGGGAGCTCTCACCACCCAATTTCACCCTGGCGAAGGTGGAAGTTTTTGGGGTACCCAAAAAACATGGACTGGGGGATCTCTCCCCACTCAACCTTGTCCTGGTGAGGGGAGGTGTCCCTAGAGAGCTCCAGGGCACCCAAAAGAACGGGTTTAGGGATCTCTGACCACCCAACCTCATCCTGGTGAAGGTGGAAGGTTCTGGGGCACCCAAAAAAAGGGATTGGGAGATTTCTGGCCACCCAATTTTTCCCTGGTGAATGTGGAAGGTTCTGGGGCATCCAAAAAAATGGTTTGGGGGAGACAACATCCCCCTGGTGAAGGTGGAAGGTTCTGGGGCACCCAAAAAAAGGGATTGGGAGATTTCTGGCCACCCAATTTTTCCCTGGTGAATGTGGAAGGTTCTGGGGCATCCAAAAAAATGGTTTGGGGGAGACAACATCCCCCTGGTGAAGGTGGAAGGTTTTGGGGTCCCCAAAAAAATGGGTTGGGGATCTCTGGCCACCCAGTTTCACTCTGGTGAAGGTGGAAGGTTTTGGGGTACCCAAAAAAAATGGAGTTGGGGATCTCTGACCACCCAACCTCGCCCTGCTGAAGGCACCGGGGCCACCCTGAGGTTCCTCCCGCTCCTCCCGGGGCTTTTTGGGTGGCTGGAGGCCAATCCCCCCACTCTTCCTGCGGAGGTTTTGGTGTCGGGGGTACCTGGGGAGCGCAGCTTGGTCTGGCTGGCGGAGCGGGACAGCGGCAGGCTCTGCCGGAACCGGTTCATCCTGTTGAATCCCAGCGGCAGCTCCGCCTCCGACATCGTCTCCAGGGATTCAGCCGAGGCGAAGGAGAGCTTGGCTTGGTCGGCCAGGCCAGGCTGGGAGCCCTGGGAGTGCCGGGAGCTCCTGGTCTGGAACGGGACAGGGGACAGGGGTGGGTGTCCCAGCAGCCCTGGGTGAGGCTGCTCCCGTTTTTCCTCGGGATTGCGGTGCCGGGATGGAGAGGCTCGTGTGGGAATATCGGGGATTGGGGAATATCGCGGGAGGGATCCACAGAGGTCATCGTGTCCGACCCCTGGTCATGGGACAGCCTCGGAAATCCTGCCCCGTGCCTGAGGGTGGGGCTGAGCCAGGGGATCTGTCCTCATCCAGGGATCCATTCATGTCCGGGGATCCATCCACATCCAGGGATCTCCATCCACATCCGGGGATCTCAATCCACATCCAGGGATCCATTCATGTCCAGGGATCTCCATCCATATCTGGGGATCCATTCATGTCTGGGGATCCATCCATGTCTGGGATCTCCATCCACACCCAGGGATCTCCATCCACATCCAGGGATCTCCATCCACATCCGGGGATCTCCATCCACATCCAGGGATCCATTCATGTCCAGGGATCTCCATCCATATCTGGGGATCCATTCATGTTTGGGGATCCATCCATGTCTGGGGATCCATCCACACCCAGGGATCTCCATCCACATCCAGGGATCAATCCACATCCAGGGATCCATCCACACCCAGGGATCCATTCATGTCCAGGGATCCATTCATGTCCAGGGATCTCCATCCACACCCAGGGATCCATCCACACCAAGGGATCTCCATCCACATCCAGGGATCCATTCATGTCCAGGGATCTCCATCCATATCTGGGGATCCATTCATGTCTGGGGATCCATCCACACCCAGGGATCTCCATCCACATCCGGGGATCTCAATCCACATCCAGGGATCCATTCATGTCCCGGGATCCATTCATGTCCAGGGATCTCCATCCACACCCAGGGATCTCCATCCACACCCTGGGATCTCCATTCATGTCCAGGGATCTCCATCTACACCCAGGGATCCATCCACGTCCAGGGATCCATCCACACCCAGGGATCCATCCACATCCAGGGATCTCCATCCACATCCCAGGGATCCATCCACATCCCAGGATCCTCCATCCCACACTCCCAGCCGAGCTCAGGCCCTGACGTGTCCCACCCCCCGTGCCAGCTCCATCCTCCTCCACCTCCCGCTCCCAGCACCGACCCCATTCCCAACCCCATCCCTCTCTCCCGCTTCCCGCTCCGGGATGAACTTTCCCAGCGCCATCCCGGTGCCTCTGAGCTCCCGCCCCGGCAAACCCCCGGACCCGAACCAGGCAGGAGCCGCCGGAGCCGGGCTGGAGCGCCGGAATAACCCTGGCAATTCCCAGAGCCCACACATTCCATTCCCGGGAACCGGGAATCACCCGGCTCCTTCTGGAAGCAGCGGGAAGTTCACGGCTCTGGGAGCCGGGAGACAGCGATGCCTTCAAGTTTGGAGAAGGGAGAATTTAATTTTCACGCCACAGACATGGAAAAATGTGGATTTTTTTTTTCTTTTTGGCACAAATATCCCCAAATTTGTGGCCGGCGCTGCTGCCTGTCAATAACCCCCGAAAATCCAAGATTTTCCAGACACTTGTTGAATTTTGGCAAATCCAACAGAGGGAACAAACAGCTCCCTGGGCGTGGGAAAGGCGGAGCTGGAAAGGGACAACAGCTCTATTTTAAGATGGGCAAAGAAAAAGGGAAAAAAGGAAAGAAATCAATATGAAATGATAACAGCCATCATCGCCATTTAAACGAGACATTAATTGGAAGATTTAATTAATCCTGCGAGGCGGGGTTTGGGAGGACTTGAAATGTTCTCGCCGTAGTTAATTGCTGGAAAATTGACTGCTGGGCTCGGTTGTTGTTGTTGGAGCACAAAGAGCCCTGGCAGAGCCTCACATCCAGGAAAAAATGCAGGGATGGACTGAAACGTTCCTTGCTCCCATCTCTGGGGCCGTGGGACACAGCCCTGACCCCTCCCCGGGGTGATTTGGGGTGGAGGAGGTGGATTTTGGGGCTCCCCACCATCAAGGCTGTGGTTTCTGGGTACCTCGCTCTGGCTTTGGGGTGATGCTGACCCCAGATCCCAGCTCGGATGGATCCTTAGGGAAGCGCAGGGATGGGATGGGATGGGACTGGCAGCTTGGGATGGGGCCCAGGGCTGCAGCTCAGCCTGGCTCTGCCTTCCTGGATGTTTCCCCTGATCCTGTCCTGTTCCTGTTCTCTGGGAATTCACCCTGCCCTAAACCCATCCCTCCATCCCTGAATCCATCCCTGCATCCCTAAATCCATCCCTAAATCCATCTCTCCATCTCTCCATTCATCCCTGCATCCATCCCTAAATCCATCCCTGCATCCATTCCTCCATCCCTACATCCATCTCTCCTTCCCTAAATCCATCTCTCCATCCCTGCATCCATCCCTGCATCCATCCCTGCATCCCTAAATCCCTTCCTGCATCCCTAAATCCATCTCTCCATCTCTCCATCCGTTCCTGCATCCATCCCTGCATCCATCCCTGCATCCATCTCTCCATCCCTGAATCCATCCCTGCATCCCTAAATCCATCCCTGCATCCCTAAATCCATCCCTGTATCCCTGAATCCATCCCTGTATCCCTGAATCCATCCCTGTATCCCTAAATCCATCTCTCCATCCCTCAATCCATCTCTCCATCCCTGAATCCATCCCTGTATCCCTAAGTCCATCTCTCCATCCCTGAATCCATCTCTCCATCCATCCTCGCATCCCCCCTGTCCCCGCCCCCCGTCCCCACCCCCCGGGGGTGACAGGGACACTTTTCCTGTCCCAGGTGAGCCCGACACCCCCTGTCCCTGCCCTGTTCTCATTCTCTGGGATCTCACCCTGCCCTAAATCCATCCCTAAATCCATTCCTGCATCCATCCCTGCATCCCTAAATCCATCCCTGCATCCCTGAATCCATCCCTGTATCCCTGAATCCATCCCTGCATCCCTGAATCCATCTCTCCATCCCTAAATCCATCCCTGCATCCCTGAATCCATCTCTCCATCCCTAAATCCATCTCTCCATCCCTGAATCCATCTCTCCATCCCTAAATCCATCCTTGTATCCCTGAATCCATCTCTCCATCCCTGAATCCATCTCTCCATCCCTGAATCCATCTCTCCATCCCTGAATTCATCTCTCCATCCCTGAATCCATCCCTGTATCCCTAAATCCATCTCTCCATCCCTGAATTCATCTCTCCATCCCTGAATCCCTAAATCCATCCCTAAATCCATCTCTCCATCCCTGAATCCATCTCTCCATCCCTAAATCCATCCTTGTATCCCTGAATCCATCTCTCCATCCCTGAATCCATCTCTCCATCCCTGAATCCATCTCTCCATCCCTGAATTCATCTCTCCATCCCTGAATCCATCCCTGTATCCCTAAATCCATCTCTCCATCCCTGAATTCATCTCTCCATCCCTGAATCCCTAAATCCATCCCTAAATCCATCTCTCCATCCCTAAATCCATCCTTGTATCCCTGAATCCATCTCTCCATCCCTGAATCCATCTCTCCATCCCTGAATCCATCTCTCCATCCACCCCCGCATCCCCCCTGTCCCCGCCCCCCGTCCCCACCCCCCGGGGGTGACAGGGACACTTTTCCTGTCCCAGGTGAGCCCAGCCCCCGCTGCCCGCGGGCACCGAGGCTCACCCGCTGTGGATAATTTATGGAATCAGTCAAACCACACAAAAAAACCCCCCCAAACCCAGGGAAGATTGAAGTTAATGGGTTTTTAGCCCCGAAGGGACGGTTCTGCCCTGCTGCTCTGCACAATGTGATGTCCCCAAGCCCCAAAGCTGTCACCGGCACCGGGGCACAGCCGGCCCTGACCCCCCTTCCCCAAAATCAGAGCAGCCCTGTGGGCACGGGACCCCCACAATGGGAATGGAACCCCCACAATGGGCATGGGACCCCCACAGATGGGTGCAGGACCCCCAGAAATGATCATGGGACCCCCACAGATGGGCATGAGACCCCCACAATGGGCACGAGACCCCCACAATGGGCATGGGACCCCCACAGATGGGTGCAGGACCCCCAGAAATGATCATGGGACCCCCCAGATGGGGACGGGACCCCTCCAGATGAGTACGAGACCCCCCACAATGGGGACAGAACCCCCACAATGGGCACTGGACCCCCACAATGGGCACGAGACCCCCACAATGGGGACAGAACCCCCGCAGATGGGGACAGGACCCCCAGAAATGGGCACGAGACCCCCACAGATGGGGACAGGACCCCCAGAAATGAGCACAGGACACCCACAAATGGGCACAAGACCCCCAGAAATGATCATGCAACCCCCAGAAATGGGCACGAGACCCTCACAAATGGGCACGAGACCCCCAGAAATGATCATGGGACCCCCACATATCCCGGGGTGCTGGAAAGGACAGATCCTGCAGGGGTGGGGGGACACAATTCCCAAATTCCCAGTGTTATTTGGGGGGGGTGAGGTCGATCCTCTTCCAATTCCATGGGCATTCCAGGGGTGGACATGGAATGGGAATTGAGATGCCCGGGGAGGGGACAAAAGCTGCTCAGAGAGGGGACAACAACTGCTCCGACCTCGGCCTCCGGCAGCCCGTTAATTCCCAGGAAAACCGGGTTTTATGGCTCTGCCTGGCTGATGGCTTCTCCCGCTCCAGGATGATGCATTAAAGGACACCTCAACCCCCTCACATCCCTGTCCCTGCCGCCCCTGGGATGTCCCCGCTGTCCCCCAGCCCCTCGGACAGCGCCCACAGCCCGCCCCGAGCAGGGGGGACCTGGCCTTGCTCACCCCAAAGCAGCTTCGCCCATCCCTGTGGAATTCCAGATTTTTTTCGGGGGGGGAAAGGTCCTGATCCTGCCTTGAGGGCTCCAGGCAGTGCCAGGATGGATGTCCTGTGTCACCCCTGCCACCCCTGCCACCCCTGCCCCAGCCGGGGCATGCAGGGCACATCTCCTGTGGGGTCAGGATAAACCCGAAACCCCACAAAAACCTTGTGTCCCCCCCC